CCGCTGGGTGTGGTAGCACATGCCTGTAATTCCGGCTACTTGGAAGGCTGAGGTGGAAGGATTGCAGGAGCCCAGCAGAACGAGGCTGCGGTCTGGACGACAGAGTGAGACTCCAACTCAAAAAAAATAAAAGAGATTTCATAAAAAGTGCCCCCATAAGCTCCACAGCTCAGATAAAAACTTAGATGTCATCCTTCCATCTCTCCATTCCTTATATCCCACATTCAACCCACCCTGCAATCATCCCCCACCTGGGCTTTCTATTTTTACTCCATTCCTTACTGCATGTGGTGGCTGACTGATTTCTGTAGAAGTGAAACATCATGTCACATTCCTGCTCCAAGTTCCAGTTCCACTGGCTTCCCAACACAGTTGAAACAAAAACCAGACTTGCCACCATGGATCTGGCCCCTAACCCTGCAACTCCTGCCCCAATCTCCATCTCTCTCCCCTCTGCCCCCCTGGCCTCCTAGCAGCTTCCCACTCCAGGCCATATCTTACTCATGCCTCAGAGTCTTTGGACCTGCAGTTCTTTCTAGAAAGATATTCCCAGGTATTACTAGCATAGCTTATTTCTCAGAGAGGACTTCCTGGATTGTACCTGAAGTTGTACCCCTCTCTTCTTAATTTTTCCCTTTTCATGCCTTATTTTTCTTCACAGCATATACATCATCTGACATGAATGAATAACTTTCTCTCCCACTAGAATGTAAGGACCATGCCAGTAGGCACTTGCTCACTGTGGGACCCCAATTCCTAAATTGTGCTTGACATAAAGTCAATGAATATTACGTCTTAGAAGGAAGGAGAATCCTAAGCAAGCCTACTCTTTCTTCAAAGCAATAATGAACCAAGAGCACAAAGATTTGCTTGGGATTTGTTATGAACCCCTGTGCTTTTCTGTTACTAAATATTCGTAAAAATTTATTAACATCTCCTGGGAGATGCACCACCTACTTCTCTAAGATGGACTAAAAGTCCTTTCTGAGGGCAAATAATCCATTTAGGGTCACGTTCCGTAGTATTAGAACTTTCCTCTGCATAGAGAGCCCTGCACCTCTCAAGACCACCACTTTTGGGGGCTAACTACTACTTGTCCTTTTGGTATCAAGTGGAGAAATGTCTTCCTCAAGATACTTTTTCTGACACCCTCCCTCTTGCAGCTCTATTCTAAATTACGATTATTTACTGTACCTTCTAAGAGCATCATTCTCCTTTTCTTTTCTTTTTTCTTTTTGAGTTGGAGTCTCACTCTGTCGCCCAGACTGGAGTGCAATGGCCGCTCCCGGCCACCGCAGCCTCGACCTGCTGGGCTCCGGCGATCCTTCCGCCTCAGCCTTCTGAGTAGCCAGAATTGCAGGTGCGCGCTACCACGCCCGGCTAATTTTTTGATTTATTGAAGAGATGAGGTCTCGCCAAGTTGCCCAGGCGGGTCTCGAACCCGTGGGCTCAGACAATCCACTCACCTCAGCCTCCCAAAGCGCTGAGATTACAGGCTGAGCCACCGAGCCCAGCCATATTAAAATGAAGGCACATTTGGGTGCTCTGGGCTAGCTGACAACATGTCACTCTTTTAGACCACTGTTCCTCACCTACTTGCAGGGGCTGAGGTTCTAGCCTCATCAGAAAGCATTTTCATGCTGTTCTGTTGTTAGTTAAGCACCCCTTGTGGAAGTTTCACCACTTCTTCCCCAACCCCTGAGCATGCCCTGAGCATCACAGTAAATACATTTCCTCCTACCATATTATAAAATCCCATGTGAAAACACTTTAGTCAAATACAATGTTCTCTATTTGTGATTATAATTAAACCCACTCCACTGGGCAAATCCCTGGTTGCTCTATTTTCAATCCAACTATGTCCACAATTATCAGTTATTTAATTGTCTCTATGATTTTTCGTTTAATGTCAATATCTCCCATTAGACCGCAAGCACTGTGAGATCTGTTGTGTTTAACACTGTCTCCTTGGTGTCAATAAAGTTCCTGATAATGATAGATGCTCAACAAACACCTGAAGAAACAACTCACTCAATTACATATGTGAACTTAAACATGAATGTGTACACTCACAGTCCTATGTAAATGTGACACATAGGGTAACTATACCAGGTTCAAAAGTAATTAGCCAGTACAATCATCTATGCTATATGAGTTACACTGTGTATTTTTATTAGTAGCAGTTTGAAAATCCAACTCCCCTATAGTACTTTCCTTTACTAATCCATACTAGATACACAAGCCCTAAGTGGGAAGAGAAATGGGCACTCCCTTTATCATTTAGCCACTTCATGGCTGGCCTGGTGCCCAGGTGCATATGTGTAAAATGTAGAATTGAGGAGTTACTTAAGTGCCCTTTCCTTTATTCATTCTGTGAAGAAGGCAGGCTTCCTCCAGCAGACACTTTTACTGTTATCTAATTAATCAACTATGCCATAAAAAACTTATAAAATGTATAAATATTTCTAGAATATGGTGACTATAAAAACTTAATATAAACTAATAAAAAATAGAAAATACGGAATGTTTCCAGATAATTTCTCATTCTAAACTCTCATCCCTTATAATCTGTTATAGTTACAACTTTGAGAAGTATTTCTATACCCACTTCACAGGGCAGTTTTTCTTTTTAAAATTCAGCAAGTTTTTGTTCCTCCAACTTTATTTTTACAAGAGAAAGTATTTTTGAATATTATTCTTTTTATTTCTTGGAGGAAAGAGAATAATGATAAATATTTGCCGACATCCATGCTAGACATTATGCTCTTACTAAATCTTCCCAAGAATCTTCTAGGATTGATCATATTATTATCCCCATTTTAATCACTGATGAAAATGAAGCTTAGTGAGATGAAATAACTTACCCATGTCCACTGCTATAAGTGAGAGAACTAGGATTCTAACTCGCCTACCCTAAATCCCAAATCTCATGTTCCTAATGACCATAGCATAATCCAGAGGGCTTATGATAACACAAATTTTTATTCTTGATGTGAGAAAACTACCGAGTAAAAAATGCTGCATGAAACTAACAAATATACTTATGTAGAGAACAAATTATAGAATGAGTCTTAAAGTTCTTCTGCAATAACTCGTTTTCCAGAAAATTAAATTTTAGTATTATGTTTTATATATTATACTTTAAAAATAATAACCTCTCTCATAAAATGATAATGGCAAATAAAAAATATCATTTTTGTTTCCTTCATTAGTGAATTAAAATTGTATAAAAAGTTATGAGAAACATTAAAATCGTTACAAATCAATCTCATAATAAAACAATATTTCTCTTAAGTAGTAGCGTACAAAAATTGGATTCTATCATGTAAACTTCGACCCACCATACACAAAATAACATAATATGCTAAGGCTGCATATTTTGCTACTTTTTAATTCCTAGTTCTTAAAAAAACTTTATAATCACTTTTCAAAGTTATAAAGAAGAGTAAATACCCGAATTGGCCTTCAGTTATGCTATTATTTCTCAAATTGATTTGTTCATTTTAACCAGAAGTAGTAGTAATATCAAAAAGGGTTTGGCTTAAGTAAAATCCATGAAAAGTCTCCCTAATTCCTCTTTTTCCTCTACCTTTTCACTAGAAGGTGGTGGGACTGGCTCCTAGTCTGTAATAGCACAAAAGAGAGAGGTTATATCATGTAAGTAATGAGTGTCTGCGACTGAAGTTTGTAGTCTAAAATTCCCTATATGCTCGGAATCATGAGATTTTAATTTGGTGAAATTGGGAAGGTGAAATTTATTTCATGTGCTATGAAGAAACTCACTGCAGGTAAAACAACAACTTGCCAATGATGAATGCCCAGTTTTATAGTATGTATTTACAAAAATTTCTCTAAGTTCACAATCAAAGGTTATTTCTATGCATTGAATTCTACTTTATACAAGAATCAAAATAACTATATTAGCATCTTATGAGAAGGTAATGTTTTATGTATTCATCAATTATATTTTAATTATGAGCCTCAATAGTAATACAAATGTTAAAGCAAAAAGTAAAACAACAACATAAGTCTTAATCCATTATCATTCTAGGCTCTGACGACAAAATACATTCACATGTATTCAGTATTAAATACATTCATATGAATGAGTTAATGATTATGGGCATTCTGTATTTCTGTAGATGGCTGGCTTGTCTATTAGCTTCATGGATAAGAAGAAAGAATAAACAGTATGATGCTACTACAATTCCATCTAGTAAAAATTGGGAAAAATAAGAACTTAAAAGTAGAAAATAACTTCATGGTCAGCTGTATAACTGTCAATTTTAATTAAAAAACTAATTATTATTACACACAATCATGTGATAAAGCATCTTTCTGTCTTCTAAACCCTAGAAGGGAATGTTGATATTATCTTCTGACATATTTCCACTATACTGAGTCATCCTACTACATAAAATAATAACTTAGACTTTTAGGAAGTTAGGAACCCAAGCTACACGATTCTTTCACAGTCGAATATCTAACTTAGAGTTATTTTAATGGCAGCTTAATTTACAGCTTACTTAAAAGTAAATGATCAGATTCCAGGCACTGCAACGTCATGACATTTTATACTGTTACCTTCCAAATAAGTTCCAACTGAACAAATAAAAGAAACATCCTGCTTTACTTCATAAAAAATTTACACTTCATAATTTATATCGTGTAAGCAATCACACTAACCGTAGATGCTCTTCCCATCTAAGCATTTAAAGATAAGCATTCAGTTGCAAATTCAGATATCTGAATTCTGACATTAAGTGACAAATGAAAGCACAGACTAAGTAAAACTGGAGCACAGACCCACAGAAATGTGGAGCTGGTTCCTACCAAACTGTCCTCTACTCAATGGCTGATCAGATGGTGTCTTGGGTTGCTGTGCACAGAGCTTTTTTGGAAGTAGTGTTTGCATACGACTTGGGCTCTGTTCACTGAAACTTCTGTGCCCTGAAGTGACCTCTAAGTGCAGAAATAAATCAAGGCTTTGTGTCTCTTACCTTTGCCATGGCCTCTCCCATCCTCCAAAAGCGGCACAACAATAGTGTTGTTCACATTTCCAGGTGACCTTACAGCTGTGTAGACAACAGGCACCGACTGCACCACCACGGGAATGCGGTGAACATGACTCAGTTTGTTAGACTGCAAATTCATGGGACTTGAAGGCGGGACAGGATGGATGATGTGCAAAAACTGCTGGCCTCCTACACCAGATGCAGAGGCAACAAGGGGCCCTGGAGTTAATACTGTTGATGAAGATGATGCTGAAGAAACTGATGTTATGACAGTTGGGGATGAGGCTGGACGACTAGAAGACGATGAGGAGGTCGAAGTTGAAGAAGGCGAGGAGGCAGACGCTGTCATGGAAACTGGGGAGGATGAAACAGCAGTGGGGGACGTCCTGGCTTTGTTTATTGACAAGTCCACGGGCTCAGTTTGTGTTTGGAAGTGATCCACAGATAACGAGTCCTCCGGGGGCTCCCCCTTCACATTGTTTAGCAACAGGGGAACGGCTTCCATATCGGGGTAGTTGTGGGCGTTTGGAGACTGTGGAGAGAAGAATGAAACATGGATTTATCCTTGCTAATCACACATTTAATAATGCAGAACCTATCACTGGAATGTTTATTAATTTTTCTCTTATTGCTATGGGACATTAACTCATTCCTCAAATGTTTCAAGGATTGATCTGTGACAGTCACTGTGATTAAAACTTAAGGTTGGCTAGGCTCGGTGGCTCAGCCTGTAATCCCAGCACTTTGGGAGGCCGAGGCGAGAGGATTGCCTGAGCCCATGGGTTCGAGACCAGCCCAGGTAACTTGACAAAACCTCATCTCTACAATAAATCAAAAATTAGCTGGGTGTGATAGTGCGCCTGTAATTCCAGGTACTTGGAAGGCTGAGGAAGAAGAATCACCGGAGCCTAGCAGGTCAACGCTGGGGTGCCATGAGCTGCACTCCAGCCTGGGTGACGGAGTGAGACTCGAACTAACAAAAAAACAAAAATCAAAAACTTAAGGTCCAGGAGAACAAAACAGTAAGATGAGGCCTCTTCCACAGAGACACTTTCTTCCATTGGGAGAGATGGTGAAGTCTGCGCTCTCAGGAGGAGAAAAGAGGAAATCTTCATGATTCCAACCTTACTCAATATTAGCATAATATGGAAACATTACCTGGCAACAATGCTGGGAACCCTCACTACGACCTCTCTACTCTCACACTTGGTGCAAGAGTCACCACACCATATTCATCTTGAATATTTAAAAAGGGCACAAACTTCTTCACCCTCCAACAGCTGAACACTAAATTTTTAAAAAAGAAGTCATGTCTAATCATTAGATAACTTAACTCTTAGGTTACGTCATTTTTTTCTCTCAAAATAATGTACACAAGTACCACATGTGACATTTTAGAAAATAATAATTTTAACTTATTCTGAAAATGCTAATTTTTCTATGACTTTTTAGTTTAAAATGGTGATTCTATCCAAGTTCATCTGCTTTCTTTTAGGGTTTAATGAGTGAAATTTGACAATGATAATAAAGACCTCAAGATTTTACTACTGTGATCAGCATGTTATAACTGGGCATAAATATACTGCAACTTATTCATTTTCCTATTCATCCATGAATTCAGCAGATATTTATTGAATGTCTACTTTCAAGCTCCCAAATGACGGCCCAAGAATACTGTACTTGCACTTCAGTTTAGCCTTAACAGAGAGAATTAGACTATAATAGACTATTTTGATTACATGTAGTTTGACCAGGCTAACATAGATATTATTGTTCTGTTATATGAAGGTCGAAAACTTTTTTCACCTTTATTGTTATGGTACCTGAACAACAATATCTAAAATTATGTTAAATAGGTTCATTCTGTTCCTCATTTAATAAAAGATTCTGGTTTGCTATTCCCCCCAAAATCTCAGCATACATCTAAAGGAACAAAACATGTTTCTTAAGGCTTTTTAAAAATAGAATATAAATTACAGCTCCATTCAAAACATACAATGTGCAATATGCAAGAGCTTTTTATTCAACAGCAATGAGAAAAGATACATTTAAAAGGGAAATGGGTTGATGTTTTAAAGCTTTTTTCTTCTTCTCAGATAACATGGTTACTTACCTGCAAAAACATATGAATCAGAAAAACTTAATACGAACCATTTAAAATATCTACTGTATGAAATTCTACATGACAAGATTTTCATATTTGCTGAAATTGAGAAATAAAGCTTTTTAATCTTTTCAAAGACATTTAAAAAAGTAAAAAACAAACACCATAAATTGAACTACATTTATAAAATATTTTAAGCATTAGCTAATCTTCCAAACAGAACAGTATTTCAATTTGTTCTTAGCATTCTCATTTAACTTCTTTATGGAACAATACAAAATGTTTCTTATTAGTATGCTATACCCATATAGAAATTTGTTGTTTAGGCTGCTTTCATAAAAGACTACCACAGGTTTGTCATTAAAAATATAAAATATGGCTGGGCATGGTACTCACATCTGGAATCCCAGCACTTCAGGAGGCCAAGGTAAGAGGACTGATTAAGTACAGGAGTTCAAGACCAGCCTGGGCAACACAGTGAGACCCTATCTCTACCAAAAAAAAAAATCAAAAAATTAGCTGGGTGTGGTGGCTCACACCTGCAGTTCCAGCTACTTAGGAGGCTGAAGTGGAAGAATCACCTGAGTCCAGGAGATCAAGGCTGTGGTAAGCCATGATGGTACCACTGCACTCCAGCCTGGGCAAGAGAGTGAAATTCTGACTCAAAAAAAGTACACCCACAGATACACACAAAATACACCATTAAGCACATATTATTAAACAGCATTGATTTGGTTTTAAATACATTCTTGGTTAGTTTTTTTTTAAAAACTGTATTAACATATTCAAAAGTCTTATTGTGAAAATTAGTGATTATTTCCATCACATTTTTTCTCCTACTCAATATCCACTTAGACACAAGATTCCTATACACATTTACAAACCAAGGACCAACGAGTACTTTATTATAGAAACCTTCCATATGTGAACCAAAGACAACTTTGGCAGACTAACAATATAGGAGCTATATGAATATGAAGCTTATTTGTAAAGAGATTGCTTTTGAGACACAAAGTTTCACTAAGCTTGGCAGACTGCTTAGACTTCTCTAGATTACAAACAGGAGTTCACCTTTTGTCGGTGTCTGCTTAATCCCTTAATGAGGAACATGTTTACTCCTGAAGTTGTTTTATAACAATAGAAGAGTGTTTCCCTTACGGTTTTCTTGTATATATTAGACAGCTGTGAAGACCAAATATTAAGAGCCCCTCGGTATTTGCAGACACTTGAGAATTATATAGCTTTTCCATGAGCTCAACCCAGAATATAGAAAATGCTCACAAAAATAAAGAAGGATGGACCAAACTTTTGGACCAAATACTATCTTGCCAGAAGCCTTCTACCAATTACACAGGAATTCACAAGTGTAAATGTCCTAGAGAGTCATGTGGTTTTTTTCTCATATGTAGCAACTGAAATGCAACTAGCATATTGAAAAATAATGCTTCATCAGTATAAAGCGGACAAAATCCTTATTATACCATTCATCTATTTACAGTGTGACACAGCATCACATCCTGACAGTTCACACTAATCTCTTCCAGTGATAATGTGGCAGGTAGTCATCCATAATTCCAGCTTAAGGCTACACATACATATTTGTAAAACCATCAATACTGCAAAAATGCGGTTTCAAAATGGCTATGGCACACCTTTGTTCCTCCTTTTTAGGGAAAAGAAAAGACCTGAAAGGCTTGATCCTGAAATCAACATTAGGAATTCACTCTTCTTCTTTTTTATTTATTTATTTTATTTATTTAATTTTTTTTTTTGAGTTGGAGTCTCACTCTGTCGCCCAGACTGGAGTGCGGTGGCCGCTCCCGGCCACCGCAGCCTCGGCCTGCTGGGCTCTGGTGATCCTTCCGCCTCAGCCCTCTGAGTAGCCGGAATTACAGGTGTGCGCTACCATGCCCGGCTGATTTTTATTTTATTTTATTGTAGAGATGAGGTCTCGCCTGCCCAGGCAGGTCTCGAACCCGCGGGCTCAGGCAATCCACTCACCTCAGCCTCCCAAAGGTGCGGGATTACAGGCTGAGCCACCAAGCCCGGCTTCTTCTTTTTTAAATTAAGAGTCCAGTCTCACCCTGTCACCCAGGCTTGAGTACAGTGGTATTCTCATAGCTCACTGCAGTCTAGAACTCCTGGGATCAAGTGATCCTCCCACCTCAGACTCCCAAAGTGCTGGAATTACAGACATGAGCCACTTGGCAGGAATTCATTCTTATAGGAAGTAGAAAATCAAAACGTATTGGTTCTGAAGCCTGCATCCATAAGTGTGTAGCTGTAGTGAGGAGATGGGAACATGGTAGACCGCCAAGAAGGCAAACAAAGGCTGAGGAGAAACAGAGGAAATCCCAAAGGAGAAGTACTTAGAGCAGCTAGAAATTGAATGAAAGGACTACACATATAAGAGAAAGTGAAAGGAGATACAGGCCAGGAATAGCCTTGAAGGGGTGGAAACACTGAAAAGACCACAGATAACAAACAGAGGTTATAAGTTTTAGGCATGATGAGAAAGATAAACTTCTGTAAAAAAAGAACAAAAAAGGGATTAAATACTAAAATTATGTCCTTGGTTACTTGATACACTGATGAATTCTCGTGGCAGTGTCAACTAAGTGATTTGTTTGTTTTTGTTTGTTTTTAAATAAAAGCTTGTCAAGATTTTTGCCTGGGAATGGTGACTTCAGCTGCATTTTTTGCTGCTGATTTCCCGGTTTGGAAAGATATGATACTATATTCATATTATCAAACAAAAATACTCCTTCTAAAGACATGAAGATTATATGGAACAATGGCTTTTTGTCAAAGAGGAGAGTAATTCCATTTTCCAAAAAATTTTATAATAGCTCTTGAAAGGGACACAGCAAAGTTTAAATTTTTAAATAATAAGTATTAAGGAATTATATAAAAACACACAAAAGTCCAGCAAAGTAAATACAACCATACACTTCATAACAAACAACATGTATGTGAAAACTTAAAGATAAAGAGAAGCAGGATTATATTGTCACATATTCTTTCCTTCAAAAGTCTGAAAGTCAGTTTTACTTTTAGAAACCCACTCAATAAAATATTACACAGAACATTCTAGTGAACATGCTTTTTTTAAGGGAGCTAGGAATTACATTTGAGTCTTTCTAATCAGATAATTTTTTTTTTCCTGAATAAACATTTTAAAATGTGATTTCAGCTTTAGGCATTTTGTTGAACGAATGCAAAATGAATCTAAAACCTCATACTTGTAAGTTCCCAGATTACTAGATGTATTTCCTACCGTTATCTATTCTCATCAGCTGAATCTTATTATGGTCTGTCAGGGAATGAAAAGCATCTTTAATTATAGTTGTGTATTTTAATCACTTGGAAGTTTTTAAAAAAAAAACAACTATGTCTGGACACCACACCATCTTTGGAGATTCTTATGA